GGATGACCTTGGGCTTCTAGAAAGGAATGTTTTATTTTGACAACAACACATTCTACAATTCTACTCCTTACTATTCCCCCTCCCAATCACCCCACTAATGAAACAGCATAGTAAAATGAGAGAGTGTGTGGCAGGCCAAAAATCCTAAAAGGAATATGACTGACAGGGGGGCTCATCCAGAGAGGTTCTCCAAACTGGGGCCTTTGCCAAAATGGGCTCTGAATCGTAAGATCCCACCATCCAAATGTCCACAGTTGAGAACTTTCCAAGGCGAAGTCTTGAAGAAGGTTGACTTATAGATCCTCTGCTCCAGTCTAAGGAAGGTCCAAACAGTCTATAGAGATTCTCAATCATCCAGGCCATGGTTGTCCCAAAGATGATTTTTTCCAAAAAGGCAACTGGACTTTCTTGTTTTTGCTTCTCATCCAAGAACTGAAGAAGCTTCTTGGAAGAGAAGTGAAATGCTTTCAAAGAAAACACCAAGATAGTCCAGTGGTCTTTAAAAAAAAAAAAAAAACAATTTGGGGACAAAGGTCCAAATAGATGTTGATTGATTCATGATAAAACAATAAGGAGAAGTAAGAGGAATATTTCTTTACCTGGCTTCATCCAACACCTTTTCCATAATTTGGAACTTCTCCTCACTTTTGGGATCTTCATTAACATCCGTGCCTCCAAAGATAATTCCAAAAGGAACGGGACTTCCTGAAAAATTGAGAATTTCAACAGTTCTTAATCCCATGGCACAGATTGTGCCCCTTGGTCCACCAAACAAAACTCCGAGATCAGTGTTGGGTGAAACCCTTCCAAAGAGACTAAAACACATGAAGAACAGTTGCAGGAACTGCATATGTCTACTTTGATGAAAAGAAGGACTAGGGGTGACATGAAAGCAGTCTTCCAATATCTCAGGGGCTGCCACAAAGAAGAGAGAATCAAGCTATTCTCCAAAGCACCTGAAGGCAGGACAAGAAGCAGTGGGTGGGAACTAATCAAGGAGAGAAGCAACCTAAAACTAAGGAGAAACTTCCTGACAGTGAGGACAATTAACCAGTGGAACAGCTTGCATTCAGAAGTTGTGGTACTTCATCAGGGGAGGTTTTTAAGAAGAGACTAGACAGTCACTTATCTGAAGTAGTATAGATTCTCCTGCTTGAGTAGGGCTGGACTAGAAGATCTCCAAAGTCTAGTCTAGTCTTTATTATATTCCCTATTCTATTCTACTCCATTCTATTCTCATTTCATATTCTATTCTATTCCAATAGCTAGTCTATTCCATTCTTTATTCCATTCTATTGTTTCTTCTATTCTATTCTATTCTACTCCATTCCATATTCTATTCTATTCCAATAGCTATTCTATTCTATTCTTTATTCCATTCTATTGTTTCCTCTATTCTATTCTACTCCATTCCATATTCTATTCTATTCCAATAGCTATTCTATTCTTATTCTATTCTGTTCTGTTTTGCTCTGTTCTCCTGCTTGAGCTAGACTAGAAGTTCTCCAAGATCCTTTCCAATTCCGTTCTGATTGAATGATCTCCCCTTTGAAGCAACCCATGTGTTGAAGTACTCCGTTGGAAGGTGCTTGCAAATCCAGGTAGTCAACTTACAACTATTTGTTTAGCGACCCTCTGAAATCGCAATGGCTTTGAAAAAAGTGACTTGCAACTGGCCCTTGCCCTTTNGCTCACTGATACACTAAGAGCCTCTGAGTGGTTTCCACCCCTTGCTTCTTGTCCTGCCCTCAGGGGCTTTGGAGAATAGCTTGATTCCCTCTTCTTTGTGGAAACCCCTGAGATATTGGAAGACTGCTATCATGTCACCCCTAGTCCTTCTTTTCATAAGACTAGATCTATCCAGTTCCTGCAACCATTCCTCATATGTTTTAGTCTCCAATCTCCTAATCATCTTTATTGCTCTTCTCTGCGCTCTGCTCTAAACTCTGCATTCAGATCTGTTGCAAAGAGCCCTGTAACACCAGATCTTTTTTTTTTACATTTCCACTTTTTCTCCAGGGCCAAGTTATTTAATTACAAAACACATTGTATCTTGATTTTTGTGGGACATGGACCTGATCAGAACCAGAACAAGACAAATCTGAGAGATTTGGAGGGGGGGGGGTAAAAATTCTGTGGTGCTAAAATTCTGAGGGTCTTAATTCCATAGCACCAAGTGATGTTGTAAAAAGGCAAGTGCACCTCCCTAACCACACACACAAAATTAGAAAAATTTAGAAGTTAGAAAACCCAAACTCTGGTCAGATGGACACAACAGCTGTATCCATCACATTCCAGGCCCCCCTGCCTCCTCAAATTATGCCTCCCAGTCATCCAGAAAGATGGCCCTTTGCAAGGTCATCCATGCCAAATGTATTGCGAAGACGTTGGATGGGAAAATGTTGACCTGAGAAAACATCCAGCAGATAAAGCGGATCTTTGACTCTCCTTAGTCCACAGATCAGCAGGAAGGTGTATAGACTCTGGTCGTCCTGGGCAATCCCTGTAGAGAAAGGATGATTGAAACTCCTTTTAAGTTTCAAAGGATCAGAACTTCTCGGGAAATTAAAGAAGGGCCAAGTCAGCAAACCAACCATCTTGAAATTTGTCAAATTGTGGATTCCAACCCAACACCTTCCCTCTTATTAGGAGCCATGGTGGTACAGTGGTTAGAATGCAGTATTGCAGGCTAACTCTGCCGGCTGCCAGCAGTTCAATTCCTATGGGCTTAAGGTTGACTCAGCCTTCCCTCCTTCCGAGGTGGGTAAAATGAGGACCCAGATTGTTGGGGGCAAGAGGCTAACTGTAAACTGATTAGAGAGAGTTGTAAAGCACCGTGAAGCAGTATATGTCTTAAGTGTTATTGCTATTGCTCTTCCTTTTCTCCTTCCTTCCTTCTTTCCCTCCCTACCTACATGATGGCATAGTAGTTAAAATGCAGTATTGCAATCTAATTATGCTGACTGCCAGCGGTTCGATCCTGACCAACTCAAGGTTGACTCAGCCTTCCATCCTTCCGAGGTGGGTACAATGAGGACCCAGATTGTTGGGAGTAAGAGGCTGCCTCTGTAAACCAGTTAGAGAAGACTGGAAAGTACTGTAAAGCAGTATATAAGTCTTAAGTGTGTTATTGCTACTGCTATTCATTCCTTCCTTCCTTCCTTCCTTCCTTCCTTCCTTCCTTCCTTCCTTCCTTCCTTCCTTNCTGAAGGCCAGACAAGGAAGAATGGATGGAAACTGAACAAGGAGAAATCCAACCTGGAAATTTCTGATTGTAAGAACAATCAACTGAGGGAACAGAAGTTGCCTTCGGAAGTTGTGGAGCTTCATCACTGGAGGCTTTCAAGAAGAGACCGGACTGCCATCTGTCAGAAATGGTGTAGGATCTCCTGTTGTGTGGGGGGTTTGTCTAGATGACCTACAAGGTCCATTCCAACTCCGTTATTCTGTATTCAATGGAATAGAAGTTGGCCTCGGAAGTTGTGGGAGCTTCATCCCTGGAGGCTTTCAAGAAGAGACTGGACTGCCCCCTGTCAGAAATGGTGTAGGGTCTCCTACTTGGGCAGGGGGTTGGACTAGATGACCTACAAGAACCCTTCCGTTAATCTAATCTAACTTTTTTCCACTGGGAATATCAAATAAATTCCGTTCTCATGTAAACCATGTTATTCCTTGTGATGCTCTAGGGAAGTAAAAGCTGGACTTTCAAGAAGCTGGGTGGAAAGAGAATTTGCTTGATAATCCATTGTTTTCTTGGCTGCCTACATGCTTAGACGTGTTCTTCAATAAAGTTCAAAAGTTCTTGAACTCTGGCGTCGGAGAGAATGCCATGTTTGCACATTGTGTATAGAATCAACACAAAGGCCAAGCTAAGATCCAAAAACCTCCTGTTTGACATCCGGGTTACAATGCAAATATAAATACAGAAAAAACTGTTGGAAGAAATGTCCATCTGAGTTCAGTTCCAAGCAGGGAGAAAGACACTGGAAACATGGAGGCTGCTTGGGAGGATGGTATAATGGTGAAGCAGAACCACCAAGTACCTGTGATTCTGGGTAGCTGAACACTTGGTTAGATGAGCACATGGATTTTATAGTTTGTTCTGCAACATCTTGTAATTTAGAGGCTTGTTTTGTGTACTTTGTTATTTGATTTTAATTCATTTATCTCCCAAAGGCTGGCAATGAATTGAGGTTTTTAATCTTGTTTTAACAAATGTAATTAATCTTAGATGCTGGCTTCCTTGGGGTTTTTAAATCCTGCCTTGAATGGATTACCAGATCTGCATTTCTAAAAGTTGGCCCCTTAGTTTCTACTTAGGGCAGAGAGCTGAGGCTCTAAGTTTCTGTCTTTAGGAACCATAGAATAGAATATAGAATAACAGAGTTGGAAGGGACCTTGGAGGTCATCTAGTCCAACCCTCAACCTGCCAAAACAGGAGACCTTACACCATTTCTGATAGATGGCAGTCCAGCCTCTTCTTGAAAGCTTCCAGGGATGAAGTGTTTGTCCTTTAGGATATAATATTTTGCCTTTTTAATATTCCCTACAATATTTCATTCTTCTAGGAGGAGGTGGGTGCTAACTTCCTTCAATACAAAGTATCCAGAAGACAAAATAACCATCTAAAAGTGTAAAACAACCACCCAGAATTTAAAACAAACACAAAAAGTTACATTCCCACCACCCGGTTTTCCCATTTCAGATTCACCCCACAGATATGCACCCCTTAAGCCCCCCAAAGAGTTATCATCGGGGCACTTGGCACCATGTCCAAGAATTTTATAAGATATATCAACAAATTGCAGCTTCCTGCAATAACACCAGNTCTGGGAGGGGCCATTCATCATTCTCCTGTGGCCTTTCTCCCAAGTCGACCCCTGTTTTTTAGCTGTTCCCTTCATCTGGCAACTCTGCGCATGTGTACACTGGGAACAGGCTCCAGCTGTTTTTCTGCCTCACTGGTGTGTGACTCCGAAGGCAGCTGATAGCTGGCATATGGCCCTTGCCCCCTCTCTGCCTCCAACATAGAGCCCTCATCAGAGCCTTCCCCAGACTCCAGGACTGGCCCATCTTCCTCCCCAACCTCCTCACTGTCTGAATCTGCTGCCAACTCCTCTGGCCACTGACAGGCCACAACAGAAGGTGTCTTGATGGTGGTGAGTGAAGCAGTTTCAAGTTGTTATTTTAGTCCAGCCGAGGTGGGAAGCTACCAGAGATGCCTACAGAAACATTGGACCCAAATGGTGGAGGATTCTGTTCCTGAGAAGTAACATTTCAACCAGCTGTTGGTTAGCTCTTAGCATCCCCCAAAATCTGAAGTACAAGTAATTCCTCAACTAAATCTCCCATGGCCAACCAATTAAGAGTTATATCTCCTTTGATTAGTAAACCGTTTCCTACACCAATGTAGCGTCAATCTAAGTATCAAGGCCCCTGTTTTCTGGCTAAATTGACACCTATAATGGAATTTTTTCCCCTCTGGGTTGCCCTATATATTTTTGTAGTATCCTGTAACTCTTTTTAATTGTTTTATATTTGGTGTCCAGAGTCATTTGCTTGAGATAGAATAACAGAGTTGGAAGGGACCTTGGTTTCCTGCTTAGGCAGGAAACCCTACACCATTTCAGACAAATAGTTATGCAACATCTTCTTAAAATCTTCCAGTGTTGGAGCATTCACAACTTCTGGAGGCAAGTTGTTCCACTGATTAATTGTTCTAACTGTCGGGCAATTTCTCAGTTGCTTCTTTCCTTCATTAGTTTCCACCCATTGTTTCTTGTCCTCAGGTGCTTTGGAGAATAGCTTGACTCCCTCTTCTTTGTGGCTGCCNCTGGCCCTTGCCCTTTCAACCATTGCAGCCTCCCTGTGGACACACAATCACAATTAAAAATGGCAACCGGTACGGATTTATGATCACCATTTGCAACCTTCTCAGAGGGCTTCCAACAAGCAAAATCAATGGAAGGAACCCGAATTGGCTTAAGAACCACGCGATTCACTTAACAACTGCAGATTTGCTTAACAAACAAAAAACAAAAATGGTCATAAAATCAGCAATGGAAATTCCAGTCCCAATGAAGGTCGTAATATGAAAACCAACTCTACTTTCTATCATTTGACCTCTGGGTTTTGTTTTCCAAGGACGGTTCTTTGCTTGTGCTTTCTTCCACACATTGTCCTTGTTTAACAACCATCATCCATAGGTCATTAAGCAAAACAAACCCTGAGTGAAAAATGGCTAGGCTCATGATCCTGTTATTCCAACCTAGGCTTCCCCAGCAGCACGAAGCCGAGCCCGAGTCCCGATAAATCCCTTTTATTTAATTGACAGTGAATTCCTCTCCAGCAAAGTCTTTCCTCTCCCACAGTCTTTCAAGAGAGTTCCCAATTACCGACTTTTATCAGGCCTGGAGAGTGGCCAGGCCGATATTTTTCAGACACCACAATACTTGGCAAGAATGCAGGAATGAACTAATGGTCTCCTGAAAACTCCACTCCCCCTTTGCTCCTCTTTTATTCCCTATGGGAGGGCCATTCACCGTCCACCTGTCCCTTTACTCCTGAGTCAGCCCTTGTTCCTTAGCTGTTCTCGTCTCCTGGCAACTCTGCACATGCGCACACTGGGAACAGGTTCCAGCTGTTCTTCTGCCTCACTGATGTCCGACTCTGAAGGTAGCTGATAACTGTTGGGTGGCCCTAGCCCATCTCTGCCTCCAACACGGAGCCCTCATCAGAGCCTTCCCCAGACTCCAGGACTGGCCCATGTTCCTTCCCAAGCTCCTCCCTGTCTGAGTCTGCCACCAGCTCCACTGGCCACTGATGGGCCACAACACCTGTTACAAATCAATTATGAATCACTCACACCACTTATGAATCAATTAGGGCATTTTTAGGAAATCTGACACTTTCCTTTGTTTAACAGACCTACACAAGTTGTCAAGGCAAGGACAGGTTGCCAAGTTACTTTTTTCTCACTGCTGTGGTGGCAAACGGTCGCCACTAAATGAGGACCACCTGTATTATCTCTCTGCCTTTTTGAATCTTGCCCCGGTGTGCCTTTCTTGGGAGGAGGAGGTGCTTTTAGCCATGTGAAGTGCTCTTTTCAAACGGAAATGCGATACAAGCCATCCCGCAGGTTGTCTTTGGCCAAATGGAAGCCACCTGGCCACTCAAACCTGTTCTGCCATGCCACCCTTGTTGTTACAAAGAAGGGCAAATTGCATTGTGTCTTTTCAAATCAAGCATCCCTCGGCTGCCAACAGGGAAGCTCAAAAGCAGTGATGCTAACAAAACTATAAACCACCCTCTTCCTAAAAAAAAAAAAAAGCATTAGGAGAGTGGAAGGGGAGGGAAGAAACAATTAACTGGGCAGTTTTACACTCCATTAAGCTAACAAACAGCAGCAGTTGATGGCAGCTAATTAGGAACAAGGCTGTTTTTAAATTCTAGGTAGAATGAGTTCACTTGTTAAAAAGGAATCAGGTAAACTGTCAAGAACTGGCTGTCAGAGAGCCGACAGAGGAATTTGTGACCCATTTTACCAGCTGTTCTCCAATGTCGGCTGTTCTAGAGAGGTTGGTCAGGTGGTCCAGCATCTCTGGACATCAGCCGTCGAAGGGGCAGGAGGGGGGAATGCAGGCACTGATGTTGAAATGCCAATTAAAAGCATCTCTTGGAGAGGAACTACCAACAGATGGCTTCTGTTGAATCCTGCCCTTATTCTCCTGCTAAAAATGGAGATTTCACATCGATAGAAAAGATTTGGGCTATGGTTAGGCCAGGGGTTGGCAACCTGTGGCTCTGGAGCCACATGTGGCTCTTTCGTCCCTCTGCTGCGGCTCCCTGTCGCCGATTGGCTCCACAATTGATAGGGCTTTAGGTTAGGGCAGGCAGAGGAAAAAGGATGCCACCTTAGGAGGAGACTCTATGGTGGGGGAACTGGACTTCCGGTCAGCAGAGGAAAAAGGATGCCGCACTAGGAAGAGACTCTACGGTGGCAGAACTGGACTTCTGGTCAGCAGAGGAAAAAGGATGCCGCACTAGGAGGAGACTCTATGGTGGGGCACCCGGACTTCAGGCCAGCAGAGGAAAAAGGATGCCGCACTAGGAGGAGACTCTATGGTGGGGGAACTGGACTTCTGGTCGGCTCCAGAACTGAATGGGGGGCTTCCGGTTTAGGACCTTTGTGGCTCTGAGTGTTTAAGGTTACTGACCCCTGGGTTAGGCCAAAGAACACATCCACAGTGCAAAACATCTACATAACCAGCAGAGGGTAGCAGAGCGATACAGAAAACTAACTCTCTGCCTCCACCTAGGGGGTTATGCATATTCTTGCAGCCCTGTTATTAACAGACTTATCCATGCTATACCACACATTTTAAAGAAGCAGGCTTTTGTCAAAACAACAACAACAACAACACTGTTTTCCACCCCTTTTGAAACCAAGAGACCTTATCTTACCTTGAAGAAGCCTTCCAGCTTTAAAAAGATGGATACCCAGAGCTGCCTCCAACTTCTCTGAAGAGATAAGTTTTGAAATTGCCAACGGGGATTCATAATCAGAGGTGTCCTTCAAGATACACAAATGCCCAGCAGCTTGTAAATGATCTCTTTGGAAAACAGGAGCAGACGGAATAAGGTTAAAAAAGGCAGGATATTAGCATTAATTTCTGCGGGGGAAATAAGGCCATGAAGTTCTACTCTTCAGATCGTCTTCCACTTACAGCTAAAATTGGGAACAGGATGACCACTATAACACAAATCAGATTTCTTTTCTTTCTTTCCACTGTACCAATAACTGTGATTTACATTCTTGTTCAGATGAATAGGCTTGCCAACGATTTGAAACTAATTTCCTAATGAGACTCAGGAGAGATATTAGCAGCCTCTGTGTGTGTGTGTGTGTGTGTTTGTTTGTGTGTGTGTGTGTATTTGGGCTTTTGAGCGCATGCGCTAACATAAGCCCTCCCTGAAAATATTGCAATGCACCAGCCATGAGGTGACCATGCTTGCCATCTCCTGCACCTCAAAAATAATAAGACCTCCCTGAATATAAGGCCAAGCACTTATTTCGGGGGTCAAAAGAAAATAAGACGCGGTATATATATATATATACACGGTGTGTGTGCCTATATATGTGTGTGTGTGTGTGTGTNATACATACATACATACATACATACATACATACATATATATATATATATATACACACATACATACATACATACATACATACATATATATATATATATATATATATATATATATATATATATATATATATTCACTTTCTTTTTAGGTTTGAGATAATTGTTTTCTGGCTTTCCAAAAACAATTGGATTTGCATTTCAAATTCTTAGAACCCTTCTGGAATCCGAATCCTTAGAAGAAGAAAAATCCTGAAACCGCATCTGCTTTCCCCCCATCCCAGATATAGAAAGAAACAAACTGTGCCCCCAGCTAAAAACGAACGAAAAGTCCCATGGCGAATTTCACTTCTTGGCGAAATTTGGGGACTTATCCAACAAGCAGCTGGCTGGAAGCCCAGCTGCCCCCAGCCCGCCCAGCTGCGTCCAAAGCCGCTCACCCCGGACAGAAATTAGCACAAGTGCGTGCAAAAGAGAGCCAAGCACACGCACGCAAGGGCACGGCGCTGCCCCCGCCCACCCAACCCCATTCCAAAGCATGCTCGAGCATTGCAACATGGTTGCACGTGACAAAAACCCATGACTCGCTTTGGGCGTGCTCTGTTGTTGAGTTTCTCTTGGAGACAAGTGGGGGGAACCTCTCCAAGAAGGCCAAAGAAATAAAAGAACAAGAGGACCGGTTTGGAATAAAGCCGTCTCGGATCCGGATCGGCTCCGAACTGCACCCTTTAAAACGCGCGCTTTGCAATTTGAGTTTTGTTATTTTGCAGAACCAGGAAGAGGCGCCTGCGTTGCAAATCACGGGGGAGCCCGTGAGCGACGGTGCGCGGCGGCCAATCAGCGAGCGCGGCCCGGACCGAAAGAGGCGGGCTTAGAACAACCTGGGCATTCCAAAGCAAAAGAGACAAAACGGCGGCCGGCAGAGGCGGCGGCGGGAGGGGGAGAAGGCTCCGAGAACGGCGGCCAGCGCCAGGCTTTTCTAGCGAGGTGGGAGGTGGGGAGAGAATCTGGCGCGGCTGGGAAGAGCCCCCGAAATTGGGCGATTACGGGTTCGAATCCCACTTGGGGAAGAGTTTGGGTTTAGAAGCGGGGATTAGTTTAAAAATTTCGGGGTACAAAGGTGAGCCAGGCTCTTGGAAGCCAGTGCCCCTTCGTTCTCTTAGCTCCTAAGGGGATCTGAGTAGCCCAGGAGCTTAGAGGTTGCCTGGAGTAGGGAGGAAGGGTTGGAGCGTGGGGGCCAAAGCTGGGTGAGGGTAGCAGAGGAACCTCAAAGTCCCCTAAGGGAGAGGACTTTGGAGGGGGACTTGAGTAAAGGTTGGGAGATATTTTCAGTTGGGTCACCCAATAGGAGAAGTTGAATAAGGAGTTGGCCAACCAGCAATGCAAGAGGTGGAGTCCAACGAGAGGAGCCCGCTCTTGGACCCCAACATTCGGTCACCCGTCTCCTTCCCAGTGGCCAATGTCTTCCATGGACGGCGCCTGGCATGTGCTGCGGTGCTTCTAGCAGAGCTGCTGGAGAGGGTGGCCTTTTATGGCATTACCTCGAACTTGGTGCTCTTCCTCAATGGAACGCCATACAACTGGGAGGGCACCCAAGCCAGCCAGGCCCTCCTGCTCTTCATGGGCATCACCTACCTGGTCTCCCCGTTTGGGGGCTGGCTGGCCGATGCCCTGCTGGGCAAGTTCCCCACCATCTTGGTCAGCATGGCGGTCTACCTCTTGGGCATGCTGGCTTTCCCTGCCATGGCCATCGCTCCCAGCCGCCAGTGGCTCTGCGGGGAGCTTCATCAACGGCTCATTGACAACTGCTCAACGTCTCTGCAGAGCAATACCACGTCTGCTCCGTGCCCATCGCAAGGAAACACGCGCTACTGTCTCATCGCCACCTATGTCGGCTTGGTGCTCGTTGGGCTGAGCGTGGGCTCTGTCAAGGCCAACATCACCCCCTTTGGAGCTGATCAGGTGGAGTAGCTTTCATTGTCTTCTTCCCTAACGATGTCTTGGGGTGGATTGTCAAAATGAGTGGCCAAGCCAACAGGTTGGACAGCTTCATGTCTGTCCTTGTTGCTGTCCTTGGTTGGTGTAGATCTTCTTGGAGATGTGGTCCCTGCCAAAACACCATAATTAAGTAGGAAACCAAGTGGTTCCTTAAGATAGGTTCCATGAGAGGTTGGGCCATCTTAGGCTTGGGTGCTTTTATAGGAATTTCTGCACTAATTTGGGTGGTGGGAGTGGGAAGATAATTAATAGAGTCTTCCTACTCTAGATATCTATGATCATCTTCCACATTTCCAGACATGGCTGCAGAAGCATCTGGAAAATGGTGCCTTATAGCAAAGACCAGCCTTCTTCAATCTGGTGTTACCCATCAACTCATAGGTTTGGCCACCATGGTCAGTTCAAACAAGGTTGGAGTGGACAATGCTGAGCTAAATGCAGCAATGGCCTCAAATGATAGTTAGCAGCTTTTTGGCTTTCAAGTGATAAGCAGTGATTGATTTTAACGGTGAGACCCACCACATAAACCCATTCCTGTAACATCCTGGTTTTAGAATAGAATTTAGAATTGTAGAATAGAATAGAGCTGGAAGGGACTTTGGAGGTCTTCTAGTCCAGCCCCCTGCTCAAGCAGGAGAACCTGTACCATTTCAGATAAACATTGTCCAAGATATTCTGTAGGTGTGTTGCATGTGATGCTCAAAGTGTGGAGTTTTTGAGGTTGAGGTTTATTCGATTTATATGCCGCCCTTCTCCCAAGGACTCAGGGCGGCGTACAACATTAAAAGAAACACATACTACAAAAGTTAAAAAGAAATTAAATGGGATATCCCCAAATCCAATTAAAATTAACAATGAAACATTTTTTTTAAAGAATTCAAATTAAAATTAGCAATAATCAATACTTTGATTTGTTTTGTTCAGGCCAGGCTGGCTTGCTGGAAAAGCCAACTTTTTCTTGGTTCTCCTTCCATAATCTGTGACTTTGTAGATTCTGAGATTAGCTTCCCATATCTAATCCTCATGATGGTCTTTTCTATCAACTGTCCCCTTCTCTTTGCCTCTCCATCACCAAATTTGGTTGCGTGGTGGAAGATTTTCAGAGTTGGTTTCAAAGGCTCTTCATATCAGGAGATACCTTCGAAAGGAAAGGCTCAAGAAAGGGGAAGAATTCAAGAATTAAGAGCCATGAATGAGCTAAGTAACACCACAAGAAAGGCTACCTTTGAAATGTGGTGTGAATTGATGTCCGTCTCAAGAACGTTAAGATGGTTTTGCTCCCAAGCTTGCTTGATTGAGTTTGTGTGTGACATAAGCACATTATCTCCATAAACTAATGACCTGGCCAGTCTCCTGTTTGCTTTAGAAGAAGACACAGGAAAACTGAGATAAAGAAATGTTTGGTGGTTTCTTCTCAATTCTTCTGTCCTTCAACAGTGTCTGTGAGTGAGGTCCTGTCCTTTAACAGATCCTGCTTTTTCCGTTCTCTTGCCTTTGGGTTGGACCATGGAGGGTTAAGAAATATTTCTGAGTAGGCCAGATTTAAAATTGGAAATATTCAGCTGCTCTTTAGACCAAATTGTCCCCATCAATAGTGGATATGCACGTGCTCTGAATGTGCTTGCTCTGCTTTCTTGGGATATTAGCGTCTGTTTTTTTGCAGTCTCATCCTCCTTCTCCAGCTCTGATATCTTTTGAGATATGTTTACATCTTTGCATTTGGCTTGTTTAAGCTGTATCACTTTCTAGGTGGCTAAAATAGTGGTGGTTTTGGATCATGGGAGTTGTAGTCACAGTCATTTGGCCTCTACCAATTGTGTACCGAACTGTTCCCCAGAGGCAGCTGGCTTGAGTATAAAAAAACATTTGTGTTCTATTGAGACAAGGAAATTGGCCTCTTAAACATCCTAGTATGCTAATTTCTCTCTTGTGCTTACTATGCTATGTTGTGCTAAATTTCTATATAATTCTTCCTCTGTGCTAATCGCCCTGACCTGAAATGCAACCAATTGTGGCCTTGTGACCAATCAGACATGTGATGCCCAAAGGGGAAGGTTTGTTCCAGAAAAATGCACACAACAACTTGCCTTTCGTGGTTTTGGTCCTCCAGATGTTGTTGATATGGCCCTCCCCATCAGCTGGCTGATAGTGAGGAATTCTGGGTGTGTAATTCGACAACATCTGGAAGCTCTGTCTCTGTGGAAATGAAACCCGGGCTTTGAGGAAACAGGATTGAAAGAGGATTGACCCATTTGAACTTCTGAGTTGGAGAAGATTGCTGAGAAGGCCATGGACAACCAAGACAACTAATGGGTCGACAAAAGAGATAAATCTAGAGTTCTCACTCAAGGCATGAATGATCTAGCTCTAGTCCCCCTTCATGTGAAGATCTTTGGAGAAGGTTCAGATGCTAGAAAAGGTGGAAGGAAAGGAGAAGGTGAGATGGATGGACTCAAGTTGCAGTGATGATAGGACCACCATTGATATTCAAAATATTCTTGAAGGCATCCTTCCAGAGAAAATGTATGTATATGGTCGTTGAGAGTCAACACTAACTTCATGGCATTCAGTCAATCACAGATGAAATCAAATTTCTGTTTCCTATCCATCAGCTTATTCTGTTGATTTAAGATGTAAACCAGGGCTGTCCAACCTTGGAAATGTTAAGACCCATGGACTTCAACTCCTAAAATTCCCCAGCCAGCATATTGGCTGGAGAATTCTGGAAGTTGAAGTCCACTCATCTTAAAACATGCTGGCTGGAGAATTCTGGGAATTGAAACCCACTCCTCTTAAAGCATCCCAGCTGGGGAATTCTGGGAATTGAAGTGCTCCCATCTTAAAGCATGCTGGCTGGAGAATTCTGGGAATCGAAGTCCTCCCGTCTTAAAGCATGCTGGCTGGAGAATTCTGGGAATTGAAGTCCTCCCATCTTAAAGCATGTTGGCTGGGGAATTCCGGGAGTTGAAGTCCACCTGTCTTGAAGCATGCTGGCTGGAGAATTCTGGGAACTGAAGTCCACTTATCTTGAAGCATGATAGCTGGAGAATTATGGGAGTTGAAGTCCACAAGGCTTAAAGTTGCCAAGATTGGATACCTCTGCCATCAACCAAAGTTTGTCAAGATACACATTCATTGTTCTCTCAAAAATGAATGTAGGGCACTTTACATTTTCCTGATGTTGCTTTAATTATACTCGCAAAATACACTTATGCCCTGTTCCAAATAGGCAGACTTGAGCAATGCAGTGATTTCATCCAGTGTGGTGAAAATGAGGATTTTTTTTCTTGCTCTCCCAGCTGTTTTCAAGTTCCTCTTTTGAATTGATTTGTTTCCTGTTCCTCTCATTGACACAGTTTAAAAAGAAACAACCATGACTTCTCATAGTTCTGAATTCAGCTGTCATCACTGCAAGGAAATGAAACTGACCTAAAACATAAAAATGGCAATGGACAAGAAGCCAAAAATTCTTCTACATCTCACCAGGGGCATGAATGGTTCTTAATTCATTATGGTCAAGGGAATCCTTGTATATATTTGCTTACTGCATATTTCTCCAAGAACTCAAAGCATGGAGTCTGTCCTCCAATCTCGACCCCCAACAATAGGTAGACCTTGACTTACGACCACAGTAGGGACCAGAAAAATCATCATTAAGAGCTGTGATGGTGCAGTGGTTAGAATGCAGTACTGCAGGCTACTTCTGCTGACTGCCGGCTTCTGGCAGTTCAAATCTCACCAGGCTTAGGGTTGACTCAGCTTTCCATCCGTCCTTCTGAGGTTGGTAAAATGAGGACCCAAATTGTTGGGGGCAAGAGGCTGACTCTGTAAACTGCTTAGAGAGGACTGTAAAGCACTGTGAAGCGGTATATAAGTCTTTATTGGTATTGCTATTTTCCTTCCATCCATCTATCCATCCATGGTGCACAGTGGTTACACAGCACTAGTGGTCAGTGATTGAAATACATAAGGGAAAATTGCTCCTGTTGCCTTGAATCTGGAAGCAGTTCCATAGGTGAAAGGTGTGGACATTTTGGGGAGGTATCGACGTTTAGTACTACAAGGAGCCCCAGACTGCTGCTGAGTGAAGGAGTGGAATGTCTGCCAATTTGAACTGAGGTAACAGAATGTGAGGCAACTGGCAGTTGGAACAGAGTTCTTTTCAGGTGGGGAGCAGGAGTAGAACACCTTAGCATCAGAGTGCATTAATAAGGCAACTGGCAATTGGAACAGAGTTCTTTTCAGGTGGGGAGTGGGAGTAGAACTCCTTAGCATTAGAGCGTGTTAATTACTGTATAAGAATTACTAATGATCTGATGGTCATTTCGAAANCACCCCACCCCAGTCACCCCTCTTAAAAGGAAGGTCTGTATCCTCTATATCAGAGGTCTTCAAACTTGGCAACTTTAAGCCAGCTGGAGAATTCTGGGAGTTGAAGTCCGCAAGTCTTAAAGTTGCCAAGTTTGGGGACCCCTTCTCTATATATAGTCCCTCCATTCAGGCAGGTGGAAAATTATTAGACCCAAATAGACTTTGGAAAAAGTTCGGAGAAGAGCAACCAAGATGATCAAAGGTCTGGAGACTGAAACATATGAAGAACAGCTGTAGGATTTGGGTCTGGCTAGTCTAGAGAAAAGAAGGACTAGGGGGGACATGATACCAGTATTCCAGTATTTGAGGGGCTGCCCCAAAGAAGAGGGAGTCAAATTATTCTCCTAAGCAACAGAGGGCAGGACAAGAAACAATGGCTGGAAACTAATCCAAGAGAGAAGCAACCTTCACTGGAAGCTTTCAAGAAGAAATCGGACTGCCATCTGTCAGAAACGGTATAGGGTCTCCTGCTTGGGCTGGGGGGGGGGATTGGACTAGATGACCTCCAAGGAAACAATGGATGGAATTTAAGCACCCTTTGGGGCAGATTCAGCCCATAGGCCTTGAGTTCGACACCCCTGTTCTAGTCCTGTTAATAGAATAACAGAGTTAGAAGGGACCTTGGAGGTCTTCTAGTCCAACCTCCTGCTCAGGCAGGAAACCCTCTACCATTTCAGACCAATGGTTGTCCAGTCTCTTCTTAAAAAGTGTCCAATGAATGCTCCAACACTGGAGGTTTTTAAGAACAGATTGGATAACCATTTGTCTGAAGTGGTGTAGGGTCTCTTGCCTAAGCAGGGGGTTGGACTAGGAAGACCTCCAAGGTCCCTTCCAACTCTGTTATTCTATTCTATCCTATTCTATTCCTATTCCTATTTTTTTATTCTATTCTTTTTCTATTCTATTCTATTCCTCTATTAAATTCTATTCCAATAACTGAACTGTTCTGTTCTATTCTATTCTGTTCTAGTCTAGTCTAGTGTATTCCTATTCTATTTTTTGTATTCTCTTCTCTTCTCTTCCTCTATTAAATTCTATTCCAATAGTTATTCTTTTCTTTTTCTATTCTTTTCTATTCTATTCTAGTCTGTTTATTCTATTCTTCCCTTTCTCTCCCTCTTTCTCTTTCTCTCTCTATTTTTCTCTCTTTCTCCCTTTCATTCTCTCTCTTTCTCTC